ATTTTTTTGCTTTGGAGTAAGGGTATAGACACCCATACAGAACAAAGACCATTTGCTCATTCCATCCCCTCCCATTCCATAAAAATGGCTGTAATGTTCTTTCATGGCAGACACATTCTTTTATAATATTATCAAATACATCATTAACACTTCTAAAATATATGGTGTCTACCACCTAGAAGTCTCCAGATTTTGCTCATGTCTTTCATATAAACTACAAAGCATTCCCCATTTGTCCAATATATCTACTTGCATGAAAACATCACAGACATGTTTTCAAGAATTACTTATAAGGGAACTACTTCAATGGGTCTCATTTCTATTCTTGTCTGCTGTCTTCTGGCCTGTTCCACTTTGAAGAGGAAAAAAAAAGATACATTAACACAATAAAGGGTAGGCACCTTAGGTCAGGCTGGCCTGTCTTTTGCCAAAATAAATCATTAACTACTAAGGTAAGTACCCAACCCTATCACAATTGCAGGGGTAAGGAGGTGTCCACCATTAATTTTTAAAAGTTTTGTTTTTTTTTCCTGTGTGTTTCTAGAGTAAGAACTGTGAAAATAGGCACACTTCCCAGGAAGACAAGTTAGAGAAGCCAGCCCATGGGACAAGGACCCAGGTGATACAAGGAGGAAGCTGAATGGCCAGTCTCAAGCCATCCTCCACTTAACCAGCTCTCACTCTCTCCAGATACAGGCCCTTGTACATGCTTTGTCCTCCTGTTCTTTGCAACTATTCTTCAACCCACAAAGTTGAGAACACTCAGAGGGAAGAGAGATTTCTGCTATATAATACAGTACATACATTACTTCAAAAAACAAAACAAAACCAAAATCCTGTGTTTTGAAAATTACACATAAAAATTAATAGGATTCATGGGCCAGAGGGAGAAGGGCTGGGGCTTCAAACCTTAATCAAGTTTATAACTAGAGCATGAAAAAATTTATGTCAGAGGGAATACTTCCGACCTCCCAGCAAAGGCGGAGATTGTCACAGGGGATGTCTAACAATATACAAAAAGAAGAGTGGAGATGCTGGCAACTTTTAGAGGATGGTGGACAAGACAAATGGAAGCAAGCCCTGCAGCAGTGGGTCTGCCATTCAGGTGTGCCTGGGTGAGCTGAGCACTGGAAGAGCCAGTGCTCAAGGTTGGGATGAACCTTTCTGGCACAGTCGACCCAGAAGCAGGAAACTCATTTCTAATTTTATCAAAATACAGCCAAAAAGGCTTCTGCTGCCCCGCCTATGCAGCAGCTAAACTAAGCAAACCAAGTCCTCCTTTCCTCTGGAAGCTTGTAGCTCTCTTCCCATTTTTCCTGGCTCCTCTTGCCTGGGTAACAGCCCCCTGAACTAACTTGACTTTGGCACTCTTCTGACATCATTCCCTATTCATCAATCATGGATGAGCCAATTCCTGTTACAGAGGCATGCTTTGTAGGTGAATAAACTCTACAGACATGGGACTTCCTTGGTGGTCCAGTGGTTAAGTATCTGCCTTCCAATGCAGGGGACACGGGTTCGATCCCCGGTCGGGGAACTAAGATCCCACATGCCGCAGGGCAACCAAGCCCAAGCGCCACAACAAAAGATCCCACATGCCAAGCTAAGACCTGACGCAGTCAAAAAATTAATTAATTAATTAATTAAAAACTCTACAGACGTGCTTCAGCACCATGGAGGATGAAGATAGACACCCAGACCAGGGTCACTGTGTGGACAGCCATGGTACACTGAGGATAAGGGAGGCAGGAGAATACAGATTTTTTTTTTAACTTTTTTATTACACAGTAAAGAATACAACAATACCTGAATCATACTTTAAAGATTCACAGGTTGACAGACCATACATTACAGTCCAACTAAGGGAAAAAAAGATAAACAAGAAACCACAGTTCAGACATAGTAGACTTAAAAGCTCAAGAGTATGCTGACAAAAGCATGATGCCTAGACCCCGCCCCCCAGTGTTAGTCTACCGTTAACTTGTGGTACATGTCTGAATTAAGTATTGCACAACAACTTTAATTTTTCACAATAATGTCGCAGAACCCAAAATAATATTTTAAAAAATTACTTCAAATCTGCATTTCAACAGTCTCCAATTTTTTTCTGTCCCTTGAGGAATTCGGACAACATGGAGTCGCTTTCT